CAAATGGGCCGGATCTGGCCCCGCAGGCTGTAGTTTGCCCACGGCTGATCTAGGGGGTTCAGTCTCCGCTGAGTCAGCACTTGGCTAGGTTGAAACAATGGCTGTGGCAGGGAGGTTATGTTAGTGTGTTTAAAGCTTGTTGAAACTAAATACCACCAACAACAGCAACAGTTCTGATCTAGTCACATTTTCAGAGCCAAGAGACCCCGTGGCAGCCCTGTGGGTGTGCTGCTCAGATCCCCTTCAGAAGACAGTCTCCAGCTGCCACCACTTTGGATTGACCCAGAAAGATCCTGATGTGTTCATCCGGGGAACACACACGAACACGAACACACACACACACACACACACACACACACACACACACACACATACCAGGGTGTCTCCAGCCAATGACCGAGCATGGTGAGGAATACTTGAGCCAGGTTATTCTTCAGTGACATGGGCGTCCTCCAATGGTCATTTCTTGCTAGAAGACTAACCGTTAGCCCAGCCAAGACTTTTTCAGAATGGCGCTAGAGTCTGTGACTCTTCCTACCCATCTTCCTTCCCTCTCTCCTTCCCCGGTTGTCAGCCCTGCTTTGCCATCTGAAGACTCTCCCCTCACCCCAACCCCATCAGGCTCATTTTCCCCTTTCTCTCCTATAGTCGTCCCCTTGCCCTGTTTCTCTTGCAACTAATATTGTTTTTGGCGTCTCTTTCTCAGGAAACCTGAAATGATTTATCCTTTCAAAGGACCCCCTGAAAATAAAGATGCATTTGAACTGCTTCAATATTCCTAAAGGCAAAGGTGTGTTATTCCATGTATGAATCATAAAAAATCTCTCTCCTACATGTGGTCAGTACAATAAGGGAAGAAAGAGCTTAAGACAACTGAGATATGTCTGTGAGGAGATGCTCTCACTTTGAAGATCATTACTTAAAAGAGCTGTTGACGCTGATAAAATAAGGAACTAAACTGCTGTTTGTTAACATTCAGAAAGTCTGTGACAGTCTCCCTCTAGGACAGACCTAAGGAGGAGATGTGGCGGAAGTGGGCAGCGCAGAGGAATAGACTTTGAATTTGACATGAAAGTCAGCCACATTTTAGCTTGCATTTCGGTGTCCCCTCTAATTAGAAGTGCTGTCTTTGGCAAAGTAACTTCTCTGAGTCTTAATCCCCTCAACTATACAATGATTATTGAGCTTCATCTTGAAGGGTTGTTATAAAATGTAATGTCTGGGTCTGACTAACACATAGTAGTTGTTAATGTTCCCCTCCTGCACAACAGAGCTTCCCCCACCTCCCACATCTATGAAGACAGCAGAGCAGGGAAGAAAAAGGTGATGTACCATTTATCCATATGCAATGTACAAGATGCCCTCAAGCTGGGAAGCTAAGTGCATTCCCCTTTATCACAGCTCAGATCTTTACCCATATGATCTCACAGTCTGATGTCAGCTCAAGCTGTTCCAAATTCCACCACAGTTCCTCGCCCCCTCTCCGTATCTAAACTATACAGTCTCTTCCTCTTTATCATTCCTGTATCATCCTTGTGTCTCCAAGTATCCTGCCAACACATGCATCTTCTTCTTACTGACTTAAACTCCTTCTCCTGATTCTACAGCTTCAAATAAAGCCATTTCTGCCAATTTGATTCATAGCATACCAATTAGATAACTCCCAATTTCTTACTACTTTAATAAAATGTATTTCCCTCTGATCAGTAAGATCAATCACCAGGTACTCGATAAAAGGATTAAGATTATGGTGCTTTGAGAAGCCGTAAGACTGACTGGCTTAGTATATATATAATGGTACTTGTCTACTATCAATTAAAGGGAATTTGGATGAGTTGTGATACATGCTTATAAGTCACAGACCTCTGAGCTTCCAAGGAGTTATTCTGTCAGGGAAGAGAGTTTAAGGGGAAGTTTCCAGCTTCCAGCATGAAGTTCAACAAAGAAGCAGCTCCCTACAACCTCCCCCACCTCCATCCTAAAGGGTTTTCTGACCTTCCCATTTTATAGCTTCCTCTACCGCAAGAGGTCATGCCTGTATCTATTAACTGTGTTCTATAAATATTTCCTGCTTCTCTCTCTTTTTTTAAAACAATTTGTTTCGGGGGTTTTTATATATATTATTGACTTTTTACAGAGAGGAAGGGAGAGGGATAGGGAGTTAGAAACATCGATGAGAGAGAAACATCAATCAGCTGCCTCCGACAGATTCCCCATTGGGGATGTGCCCGCAACCAAGGTACATGCCCTTGACCGGAATCAAACCTGGGACCCTTGAGTCCGCAGGCTGACACTCTATCCATTGAGCCAAACCAGTTAGGGCTCCTGCTTGTCTTTTCCTGCATCTCTATGGCATTGTTTAGCTAAGCTGGCACATTAATCTTCTAAGATGCAACAAACCAATCCATGGCCCAATTAGACTGTTCAGGCACCAGTCATCTCTTTCCTGGGCCTGAGACATGTCTTTCCCCCTGGCATCCCTGGAAGTGCAGAATTCTGAGTTCTCAGGGATCTCAAGGACATTTGGTCAAAGGTCTCCTCCATCGTGTCATAATAGATGGAATCCTGGGCTGTCCGCTTACATCATCTCATAATACAGAGCAGGCTCCTTTATGAGCTAATTGTTCTGATGATCGAGTAGAGGACTCAGGCAAGAGTAAATATCGAACCTGTCATTTAGTTTGAGAAGCTAATTTGGGAAATGCACTCTTACTATAAAAGGTGAAAAAGGGATCCAACTGCTTCACCTCCTTCTCCCTTTGTGAGGAAGATATAGCACTAAATGAAGTCAGTCTGTGTTCCAGGAACACGCAGTGAGAAGGCTGTTGGAAACCACTGCAGGAAAATTAGTGATAGGTACAGGGCATAGAAAGAGCACTAGATTAGGAGCCACTCATTAACCATAAGATCCTGAATGTGCTTCTGTGACTCAGTTTCCCTAACTTTATTATGTGGGACATAGGATGGAACATCTCTAAGGACACGTCTGTCTCTAGAAATCTCTCTATTTTGTGGTACATGTCAAACGATTGAATGGTTGCAGTGTGCATAAATTTTAAGAAAGTCTATAAGTGAATAATATCAGCTTTATTTTTACTTGACCTTTTGACATTCCCTCATTGCCTCAGAATCATTTCCAGGCTGGCTTAGAGTTATAAAGGAAAACGAATATCGTCGAAGCCACCTTCCTCTTCATCTTTTCCAATTGATTAATATCTCTCAAACATGACATGGACATTTCCCCAAAAACTTTCAATTTCAGTTATTTGATAAATGTGTATGTGCTTAAACTTCAGAAATATGTTTAAAAATCAAAGACTTTTGTTCATATTTTTAGTTCTTCCTTCCTCTGATATGACCAAACATCTGAAATGTCAATGATATTACTAGTTCCTATTCTTATTAACCGGGCTTGAAGTTTATTATCTTGCTAGTCAGAATATGAGAAAGAGAAATAAAAATTATTTCAGGGAGCATAGTAATAATTTTTTTGAAATTTAAGTATGAAAGGAGGTTGGAGAGGAAGAGGGATGGAGGAAATAAGAAGCAATAGAAAGGGAATATAAAAGTGAAGAAATAAAAGCTAACTTAGAGGCCATCTACTCTAAACAAAACTTTCCAAGCAAAATATTAGCTGCTTCCTCAGGGCTCGCCACTATTTTTTTCGTCATTTTGCTAACTTAGCACATCACATATTGTATACTGGTTGCCTATGTATTTTTCTTAAGTTCTCATGAGTACCTGGAGATCAAGAGAGTCATGTCCCAGTCATCTTTGTAAAACCAGTATATATTATATTCCATAAATAAATACTGAATTGAAACAAAAATGCCAACTGACAGGGGTGATTTTAGATTCCAAATGCTACAGAGTGAGGGCTTTATTCTATATTTTGCCTGTTTGTTCACAGACTAGGAAGTTTTGTAAAGTTTACATTTTCTGGTACAGCTCACATACATTAATATCTATGGTTCTTATCTCAAGGCTCTACAAATGCCTGTCCCCTCCCTGTTACGCAGATTGCCAGTCAACAGGATTCATGAAATCCTCCATTGGTTGAGAATATAAGGGGGTCAAAGAAGATGCAGCACATGTGTAGCCTCTTTAGGAAGCTCACAATTTAGGAGCTTAAGGATCAAATTCAAAACATCTATGAAATAGACATTTATTGTAACACTACGAACGTGAAGGCTGCTTATTGTTTTTCGCTCCTTACTTCCTTTCCCAGTCTACATAAAAATTTATTCTCATTTGCTATTTTTCAAGAATTCCTTGAATCTTCATGTGCCAATCTCCACCTTGCTACTTTTCTGTCCTCTACACTTTCAAACATCTCCAACCTGGTCACCATTTTAAGAAGGACATGTGTCACAGACTTGAATCACACTCCAAAATGATTTTTCAATGGGCAGGGATGAGTCTCTGCCATAGCAATAAACCCCATGCAGGGGACCTCAAAGAGGAATACTCATTTTAGTGCTACAGTGGAGTAATCCTCATTTGGGTACTATTTAGTAGTTAGAATTTAGCATTGCTTGGTATTTAATATTTAGCTTTATTTGGTATTGACTGAATAGTAATACTAAATAGACTTGTTTAGGAAGTCAAGAGGTTAATATGTAATATAAAAGCTCTAATTTCCTAAGAAGTCAAAAAGCACTTTTGCAAACTCTTCCTTTGTTGTTCTCCAAAGACAGAGATAAGAACATTGCTTGCAGTCTTTGAACTCTGAGCTCACCTTCATTCAGAATCTGTTTCTTCCCAAACCCTATTTACTCTTCCTTTTTTCCTCCCTCCCTCCCTCCCTCCCTCCCTCCCTTCCTTCTTTCCTTCCTTCCTCCCTTCCTTCCTTCCTTCCTTCCTTCCTTCCTTCCTTCCTCTCTCTCTCTCTCCAGGGGGAATGTTTAAGACTTTCACTCAGCCCCACCAGAGGAGGCCATAGAGTTTCAGAACAAGGAAAACTTCATCTACCAACACAGCTGTGTGGAGGAGACACTTACGTTGAAGTCGTACAACACACCAAAGTTCGCTGCTGATGCCTCTTCAGCTCTGGGAACTGTCTTTCTAGGTAAACTGCCATAGGGCAAACCCCAGAGGTACTATATGGAGAAGCAAAGAAAGCAGTTAACAACTGGAAACAAAGTCTGAACCGCACATGTGATCACAAACTGTTTTGTTTAAAAGCAATGCTGAGCCTTTTCATGAGGACTGTGGGTCTCCATGTGGGGTCCCCTCTTCTGGGACTCTCCTATTAAATCCAGAATTCCCAACAATGAGAGTGCTAAGGGCCCTGTGCTTTGAGTTCAGTGGACCACCAACAGTTGGGCCAACCACAGTGCCCAGAAGGCTACCCACCACCCCCTTCAAACTGGTCTCATTTGGGGAGGTCTGGAAAGGACAGTCTCATCTGAGGATGTAGTGTTCTAGAAAACCAGACTACCCACGTCTTCATGCGGGTGGGGTGAGAGAAGAATCTTTCCCTCATGCCAGGGAGAGGGTTCTCACAAGAGCACTCAGAACTTGAGGGTAACAAGAGGGAAGACTGATTATGAACCTTCCTGACACTAATTCAGGATTACTGCCCTGATCTGTGCGATCAGAGTAGAACAGGTTGCTAGGGGCAGACACAGCCAGTCAGGGAGCAAGAGTAGTATCCTATCAGGAGCTTTGGTGAGACCTGGGAAAAGCACCCCTCTTGCCTCAGGATACCACAGGGCTTGCCAAGCAGATCTGCTGCTTCTTTGAGATGAAAGCTCCCCTTCCCTTGGGCTGGGGGTAGAGTTTGAATATGGATGGAAATCTGGGTGACTGGGTAAGGGCTGGGAATCAGCCCCTACTCCCTTTTTCCACACAAGCTGCTCTGTTTCCATGGCAACCCTGCAGATCCTCTGACTTCCTGGCACTAATCAAAACAGAGGGTGAGTTCCACCTGTTCTATCTCACCCCAAAGTTGGGACCACAGAGGATCGAAGAGATTAGGGTTTGCCCAGGGACACAGGAACTTTGGGCAAAAGGGCATATGCATCGGAGGAATACTGAGTGGGGCTGCTGGATGGAGGCATCTGAGAAATGGAGCCTTGTTACCAGGAGGTGACCAGCCCTGGCCTCTGTGGTTCTGTAAAGTGACATGAAAGATACCCATCCTCTTTTGTTCCTTCGCTGGAGTCGGTAATCATTACCCCCCAAAAAACAGGATGCCCCTCAGCATCTAACACAACCTGTACAAAAGCATCCCAAGCTTGCCCTGGCCAGTGTGGCTCAGCTGGTTGAGCACCATCCTATGCACCAAGAAGTTGCCAGTTGATTCCCGGTCAGGGTTGTGGGCTTGATCCCCAGTAGGTGGCGTGTAGGAGGCAGCTGATAGATGTTTCTCTTTCTCTTCAACAATTTTCTTTCTCTCTCCCTCTCCCTTTCTGTCTCTCTAAAATCAGTTTTTTAATAAAAAGCATCCAAAGCCAATATGCTTCCGAGTTCTAGGACTGCACCCAATCGAACACATATTAGCTCCCTCCACTGCATACTATTAGGGATTCTGCAATTTCATATAGTTGGAACAAGTTAGCTACAATCTTTCATTTCCTCCACATGGAGGCAGCATGGGGTGGGAGAAACAGTAAATTCTGCTGATCACTCTTCATGAATATATATAACCTGAGCCTGACACTGTGCAAAATCTGGAAAAAAAATCACTCTGGGATGCTAGCTAAATCCAATAAGCATTATGGACTTAATTTTCACATTTTTTAAATGGGAGAAAAATTTTTTTATAGTTTAAAAATTCTTTTAAAAATTCTTTTAAACTCATAAATTTGTTGTGATGCTCATTAAGTATAAGAAATGAAAGTGTTTTACACTTATAAAAAGCAAAGAACTCAATGAATGTAACGCACTATGAGTATGATTATGCTAATGGAGGCTGGATACAGAAATGGGCCCTGATTTGAAACCATGGGGATAAAAACTTTCAACACCAAGTTCTGGCTGTTTTCAATGCTGTAATGAACAAATTGGTTTTGAAATATTGGTACCTAAAAAGACCCTTTGCAGATTAAATAAAGCCCAATGCAATTTATGTATGGCAAACATCCAAAGAGATCTTTGAGTTATTTAAACTTCACATGGGTGAAAGACCCCAACCTCACTCTTGCTTCTTGGCCTTAGCTAATTCTCCCCACATCAGCTCAGGGCTTTTCCTTCTTCTTCAATCTGTTTTATTCTCCTCTCTGACCTTGGTCCAAAGGGGCCCCACCCCCATGTGTGCGTGCATGCGTGTGTGTGTGTGTGTGTGTGTGTGTGTGTGTGTCTGGGTTATCTTACTTTGGAAAAAATTTGCTCACTTTGTGTTTCTTTAGTATAGAAAAGCTGGATGCCTCGAGTTGCATTTCTTTCCAACAAAGCCTCCCTCTTTCTTCCTTTTGGGCCCAAGGACTACCTTGGGAATCTGACAAAGCCATGAACCTTTTCCCACAAAAAATGTACATGTAAACATACACATGACATTTTATGAATGACTTCAGGAGGCTCACACACCCTTTAGAGAAGTGGTTCTCAACCTGTGGGTCATGACCCCTTTCGCAGTTACGAAGTAGCAACGAAAATAATTTTACCGTTGGGTCACAACATGAGGAACTGTATTAAAGGGTCAGAAAGTTGAGAACCACTGCTTTAGAGAAAGGATTAGGACCTTTGGCCCATTGGCCCATGGGCACCATTTTGAAGATTAATTTTGCCACAAATACTATGATTCTAAGGGTGGATTAACCAGACCTCTTTGGATGCTTACCATGCATAAGCTTTCTACTCTTATAGAGAAAGGAGCTTTTCTAAGCGGTGATCACATGGGGATCCTGTTGCAGTGTGTTATGTAAACTGGAAGTCAGGGTCTTACCTCTGGCAACATGATGAGGCTGAATGTCAGAATGAAGAGAACCATATTTACTCCATACATCCATCTCATGAAGAGGAAGTATGAAGCCACCGATGAGCCAAACTGACCTATTAAAAAGAAAGTTAAAAAGTTAAGAACTTCTGGGGAAGATGGTGGTCTAGGTAAATGCAGTACTCAAATCCTCACACAACCACATCAAAATTACAACTAAACTAGAGAACAACCATCAAGCAGAACCGCCTGAAATCTAGCTGAATGAAAGTCCTACAACTAAGGATTTAAAGAGAAGACACACTGAGATTGGTAAGAGGGGCAGAGGCACAGAACAGGCTAGTCCCACACCCACACGTGATGGATAAAAATCAACTGCAGTGGTCCTCCCTGAGGAGCAAAGTGTCCTGGCCCCTACCAGGCTTCCAGGCCCAGGGTTCCAGTGCTGGGAAGAGAAGTCCCCATAACTTCCAGCTGTAAAAATCAGCAGGGATTTTGAGTGAGATCAGGCTTCTGGAGTCCTAGGCAGTGTCTCTTAAAAGGGCCACAGATGGACTTACTCAGACTCACTCCCTCTCCCTCTGAGCTCCAGCACTGGGGCAGCAGCTTAAAAGGAAACAGGGCAAGGGCTGGAATGGTCCTGGGGATGTGAGTGCAGCACAGGGAGTATGCCCATGGTGTTCTAACAGCTGTGTGGTGTCGGATGGGTGTTGAGATGATCACTTAGTAAGTTATATCATGTCTGTTCACTGGGTGTACACCTGAGGCTAGAATGGTGTTGTGTGCGTGTTCTTAAGAAAAAAAAAAGAGAGGGAAAAATTAAAAAGTTGAAAGGACAGAACAAAAGCTATGTCTTGATAACCTTCCAAAACAAATCTGCTCATTGCAATATACTGGTTCCATTCACATTTACAGTCTCTAGCATTCTTCTTTTTCTACTTGAAAGAGAAGATGTTCATGATGGAAGTGCTGTCTCTTACATAGCTGTAGTTGTCTAAAATGATCATGATCTACACCTTATACTCCATCCAAGGAAACACTGCTTTTCTTTAGCAGCTAGGATTGCCATCTGAAGAGCTTGTTATTCCTTGAGTTAACACAGTTAAGTGAGCAAATAGTATATGTAAAGTGTTTACGACAGTGCCTGGCCAGTAGTTAGTTATCATTAAAATTATACATATTCACTGCACTTCATCCTCCTTTTTCCCAGGCAAATAATACTCTCTCAAACAGTTTACCACATCCCTTATAAATGGTTGTCTGACAGGCCATCTTGTGCTGTTTTCCCATAATAGTAGCATTTTACAAGTACAATGCAAAAGCTGAAGGTCATCCACTTCACACATTTTCTGTCAGCAATTGTCTTAGATGTGAAGGACAATGTCACAGACAGGGTTACTTCTTAATACAACTTATATTTTAGTGAGGTATGAAAACAACAAATATGTGGGAATTTAAAAATAAAAAATATATATTTATCATAATATATATTATATATCATATTCTATTATACATCATATATTATATGTATGTGTGTTATACATATCTTTCACATCTTATATATGCATATGATAATGAATGATATATATGGATATATCACATAGGTAGCATATATATTATACATAATATGACATAATTATATTACTATAAAAATTATAGCCAGATAGGTTCTATAGTACAGAGAAGAGGATGAAGTATTGAAAGGGGTTGCTTTAGATAGCTGGTCAGGAAGGTAAATCAGAGACGGTAACATCTGAGCAGAGATCTGAAGCTGGAGGAAGAGGCAGGAACACCCCCAGCTGGGGGGTAATCATTCCTCAAGCAGAAGAACGGGTGAGAACAAAATATCACGAGGGAGGCAAGAGCTCAGAGAACCGAGGAACAAGCCTAAAGCCTGTTATCGGAGCACAAGGAATAAGAAGCCAAACCACATCGCGAAGGGCCTCCTAAGGCAAGAGAGAAAGTGAAGATTTTCTTTCAAATGAGATAAGAAGTCACTGACAGGTGTGAAGCAATGCAGGGAGGGGGCAGTTATGACATTTCAGAAATCACTTCAGCTCTGGAAAATAAATTGGGAAGGGGTAGGCAAGAATGTGTTGTCAACTTGCACCTGCCACAAACAGCATAAAGTGATCTTCTCTTTGATGCTTTTGAATGAGGAAAAAATATATAAGCATTCTCTTAAATTAGAGAATAGAAAAGGGAGAAAAAACAGAAACTTGAAGTCTCAGGCTGAGATTTCATAGAGTTACAAAAGCCAAAGATTATTTGATTATCACTTAAGGTTCAGCATCAAGAGGTTCGTTTTCCCAGTCTTCCCAATTCTCATTTTCAGTTGCCCCAAAAGAACAATGAACATCTTCAGTCACCTGCTGCATCAACCCCTTTGTCCTGTCTCATTCAGCAAAACACCTCCAGTGACCAAGGCTTCCCTTTGGCCCTCTGTTTCTGAAACATTACAGGAGGAAGAAGGTTCGTGTGGAGCAAACTGCAGCCTCTGCTGACGAAGATGAGACTGAGCTCACGTGAGAGTCGTACCTCTATTTTTGGAAGTTAGCCTATTCTTTAGGTGCCGTCTTACTTTTTCCCTTAACCCAGAGGCAGTTTATATACAAATTTAAAAGGAAGGTAATATCTGTGTAGATGTTTTAAAAGACATCAATTCATTTGAAGTCTGAATATTTGGATTCCTTTCACTTTGTAGAGGGGTACAGAGTTCCAAAAGTGTGTTATTTTCATAAGCTTGCTCCACCTCCCCCCGCCCCACCCCGCTTCTGCCCCCCAGCTCTGCAACCAGATGCACTGGCCCAAGTGCAGAAAGGCTGAAGCAGATCCGCCCCTCTCAGGACACCTGATCATCGCCTGGCTCCCAGTGATTTCATATCGTTTCATGGCTCTTATCTATGTTCTCTGGTAACTATACCTGAGGCCTGCCTCAGCCAGGTTCACTTGTCATGTTTTATTGAAAGCGGTGGACTTCTAGCTTGTTAATCGTTACAGTTACTCACTAACTGGAGAAGAACCTAGGTCTCTAGGTATCTGGGGTAAGCTTTCCCTTGGAATCACACTTGACATCCTCTGGTGTAGAGTCCCAAGCACAGGATAGAGGCCTTCTGGTCTCCCTCCCTCCCTCTCTTCCTTTCTTCCTTCCTTCTTTTCTTCCTTTCCTCCTTTCTTCCTTCCTTTAACAGTTTTGGTCTTCTAATTAATACCACACTCTCTCCCAGCCCCTAACATATAACCCCTGGCAAATGAGTATAAATACTAGTATATCTAAAGGTAAAAAAAAGAAAAGAAAAGAAAGAAAAGCATATTAAATGTCTCAGAAAGTATCCCCTTTCCCTATAACCCATATCTATTATAGATAAAATATACTTTAAACTCCAAAGCTTCCAAACTCCAGTTCTGAGGCTTGAAACTGGCTTCATAACGATTTTATTTGGGAATAGAAGCCATATCTATCTGTTTTCTTTACTGAATCCAAGTGTAGAGAAAATAAATTACAGGGAAATCAATTTCATTAAAGACAGAGTGACTGAAGGAAAAACCCAGACACAGGTCAAAAAGACCCCAGAATCCAGAAAACAATGTTCCTTCCACATGACACCTACCCATGGCAGAGGGGCAAGAATAACCAAAAAGAAAAATAAAAGAGCTTAAAGGAGAGAAAACAAATCAACTGGCTGACATTAAGTCTCTATAGGACCTTTCCCTGTCTCAACATAAAAATGAAAAATAAATTTTCCCTCTTTATGCCCATTTATCCTAGCAGTTCTCTCCTACTGGAGGTTGTTGACAAAAATTGGCATTCACTAAAAACAGAAACCTTAATATAGTGTGGCTAAAAGAGCATGATGAAAACAACAGCCATTTCCATGTACTTAGTCTCTCAGATAAAACTTACTTATTCTTGTAAAGAATAAGAATGAGTAGTAGTAGTAGTAGTAGTAGGAACCGCTAATATACAGGGTAGGGCAAAAGTAGGTTTACAGTTGTGAGTACATGAAACACAGAGTGTATTATCTAATTATTATTTATTCATTATTGCATTATTTTCCAAACAACTGTAAACCTACTTTTTCCCTACCCTGAATGTTGATAGTATTGTGTACTAAGAACTTGATTTGCATCAACTCGTTTTACTGCCTCTAGAACCTGGTGAGGTTAAGTATTATTAGTCCCGCTGTGAGGATGGGGAATTAAAAACAAACACACAATGGAGGCAAAGGAGGCGTGGGGGGAGGGGAGGGTGGAGACATGTGTAAGGCTTTAAAGATTTAAACCTAGGAAAAAAACACAACTTAAACACAGACATTAAACTGAACCAAGACTTCATTGTAATAATAATAGCTACCATTTAATGAATCTTTGTTTCAAACAGCTACGAGACCTCTGCATGCTAATTCATTTAACCATCATCAAATCCCTGTAAGAAGAAAAATATTGTACTCTCATTTTACAGAGACTTGGGATCATAGGCTACACAGCTAATAAATGATGCAGCCGGGGTTACACAGGTAGTGAATGATAGTGCCTGGTAGTGTTGATCTATACGTGTCTGACTTCAAATCTAGATCTCGCTTAGCCACAGTACTATATTACTCCTCAAGTAGAATCATAGTTCAATTTAAAAAAACTATGCTATATAGAATATGCAATAAATTTGTGTCTAAAGGGATATAGATAATATCCATTGATCTGCTAAGGCCAGTCAAATTCACCCATTTGGATGGTGCCCATAAATGACCAATTCTTTTTCTATTTACTATAACTAATAAATGCTGTTTCTGTAATGTTATTATTAATATAGTAAAACAGAGTCTTTGGTATGTATTAATGTAAGGCCTTAGGCTTATGTGTATTCTTCTTCCTGATTTTCTTGTGTTTCTTTTAAATTAAGGTTAAAGTTTCACCCTCCCTCTGGTTATTTATTACTAAGGCAAAGTAATTTGTAGTCTGTCATCATGTATAATTTCCTCTTGAACAGATGGGTAACAAGACAAGCAGATAAATGTGAGCATTTCAAAACTGGAAAATACCAATTAAATCACCTGCTGCATGAGTACAATATAAATGCCATCTCCTTCGGCTAGGATACAAAGTAGTTTCTTTCCAA